TTATAGGTCTGGGCAGACAAGAGGACAGTCTTTTTTCTGGGGCAGTTGAGGGATATTGAAGTGAAATAAAAGGATTAGGGCCTGATGGTATACTAAATCTCAAGAGGTTTTATTTTATAGGTTGGGGTTACTCTCCAGGCATTAATGTTTGAACCATTTAAATCTGAATTTCCTTTTTGCTGAAACTGCTGCAAGTTATTTCCTGATTTGCAATTGTACACTTGACTTGTTGTTTTATCAGTTTGCTAAAAGAAGCCCCTCTTCATTAACTTCTGCTTTCTTTTGGTGGTTTAGTTGCTTGCCTCTTTTGCTTTTTTGGTGTTTAGCAAATGATGTAATCTTTGATCTCATGGTTGCAAAGTTTGAAGTACTTTGTACAAGACGGTGTCGGAAAATGGAGTCTCTTTTTGGCTTTAAAATATAAGTTAGACTCTAAAAGCAATAGTTTATAAATATTCCATTTATGCTTGGTCCCTTTTCAATCAATGAGAACGAGAGATTTTTCTCTTTTCATCATATTTGGCGTCATGTAATCGTTTGGTCGCTTTAGGGAAAAAAAAAAATATAGTATTACCAATTGACAACAAGTAGCAGCATGGTTTTTCTTTTATTTTGTCTTAATTATTAGGTGACAGTTTTATCTTCATTCAGGTATATTTTATAAACTATTTTCTTTATACCACGATTTTATCTTGACGAAACATGTGAAAACTATCTTAAATTTAATTGTAATACTTTTCATTACAAAAAAGGGTTATTAAGTAATTTATCCAAAAATAACTAATAAACAAAAAACAAAAGAATAAGGGGGCAAGCAACTTTACTCGGTAGAAGCAAAACGGACAGAGACTATCAAAAGCAACCACAAAGTGGATTTACTCTGTTCTAACAAAGGGATTTACAGAGAAGGGGAACAAACTAGGTAATGTTCTAGCAAATGGATTTACAGAGAAGGGGAACAAACTAGGTAATTGAATTTTAAAACTTTTCCATGGTAATCTGATTCTTTTACTTGATACTTAGCACACTATTAACTATTACTTCGTTAACTAAAGGAAGAAACAACAAAATTCAAGTTACTTTCAATCTAGTACGGACAATAGAATTTTATATACATAATTCTTATAAGGTTGAGTAAATATAATTTTGGAATTTGGATTAAGAATTTAAAAGATAAAGTTAAAGAGAATTGGAAAAAATTCATGAGACTTCTCTGTGAATTAACTGGGTATAGCATATGAATAAGTTGTATTTAATAGATTTTGAAGTAATCTAAACTACCAGTAGCGTGAGTAAGTATATGTATTCTAAATTAGCTATGAATTAGCTAAAACAAGAAAATTAACACGAGATCGATATTGATGTGATTATAGATTGATTGAAGAAAATCGTACAAATCGTTCGAGGTGACGAGTATGGTATTTCGCACGAAGTACTGTGAGTGGTAATCTTACCGCAATTTGTATTTTCATAACTTGCATGCTTTACACATGATTTTTAATATGAATATGTTACCGATTATTTTGAGTTGCATGTGGGACAGGTCTTTTACTCGAAATGATACCGAAATAGTTATTTGAGATGATTACCGTTGTTTTAAATATTTTCGTTGTCACTAGATTTGTTTTACCGTTACTTGAATTTACTGTTATCGAAATAAAATTATATGATTTGATAAGAGTCGACATGCCCTATATTGTTTTAAAATATTTTTTACGAGTATATACGGATTACAGAGACAAGTGTAAACGGGAGTAGACATTGAAGGATCCCGTAGCTAACGGCGGGTTCGTTAGACTTGTTGCACCTTGTAATTACAGATTATCGTTATAGCCCTCGCTAGTGGGAAGGTAGAACTAGTATACCGTTACTGATTTCCTTCGAGTAGGGACTACCGTTATATTTGACTTCTTGCGAAGAAGTCCACAGTTATACCGATTACATGATTAGTTCATTGAAACCTCCCAAATGTTAATATTGATATTATACAATGGTTACCGAGCTTATTACTGAATTGTTAATTGTATTATACTACAAGAAAAACATGTTGAGACTGAAAATTATTTATTGTTTCTGAAAGGGCATTCTTATGATATTTTCTGTTTAATATACTAGCATGTTTCTGATTTGTCCCCAATAAAAACGGTTGTAGTTAAGTGTTATTACTCACTGAGCTAGCGACTCATTCCCCGCTAATTTTTTTTACAGAGACAACAGTTGACACAGACGAGGATTTCGTTAATTAGACGCACATGTTGATAGTTCTTGGTGAGCCTCGCACTTGTTCGCGTGGGCGAAAATTTTATTTATTGTTATGGTCTTTTGCTTGAACTTTTAGAGTCGCTCCATAGTCATTCCTTTTAAAATCTTGAGTATTCTTTTGTTATTATAGACTTATGTTGAGTATCGCTCATTCTTATCAAAGTCGGAGATAAAGTAGTATTTCTAGTTGTTAGTGGGTGGACTATTAATGGTAGATATTTGTTTTGGTTAATTGATAAAGTCATTATCGTTTGAATTGATATTAGGATGTTTGGTTGTTGATTTGAGACAGGGAAATTTTTGGGATAGTCCAAAAACAGGGAAAACTTTGTTCAATTTTCTGTAAAATACCGATGAGGCTTACTTGGGGCACTTGTTCCTAAGTGCTGGTCATGATCCTATATTGGGTCATGACAAAGTTGGTATTAGAGCTTAGGCTTTAAGTCTCGAGTCATGGAGCAATGTTTAGTAGAATGTTTTTCATGGGTGTGTAGGCGCCTATACTTATGATCTTGAGACTACTGAACATCTAGGAATGTTTTCCCTTCTTTCATTCTTTGATCGTGCGTTGAGATAACTTGAGATTGACTTTGGAGTATTTTTTTCGTAGATGGCTAGGACACGAACACCCTCATCTGCTGGACGTGGTACTACCTGAGGTAGAGGACAAGGTGGGACTCATCATACCAGAAGACAGGCCGCCCCTCAACCTGAAGTTGAGAACGTGGGTCAAACCCAAGCTACTATGCCAGATCAAGTGCAAGAACAGGGGGTTCAGGATGCTCCATCACCAGTGCCACCTGTTGTACCTACTGTTACCTTACCTGCTGACACATTGACAAGGTTATTGAATGTATTAGAGGCATTGGTGCCTACTCAGGGTGGAAGTTCAGCTCCCCAGGCTACTTTACAGACACAAGCACAGACTCAGACTTTCGGGAATAAGAAGTATCCCTACAAGAGTTCCTGATATTGAAATCACCAAAATTCAAAGGTTCTGATAATTCAGCAGATCCTCAAAGTTTCTTGGATGGGACACTCAAGGCATTGCGTGCTCTAGGATGTTCTAGTGAGAGGGCTGTGGAGTTCGCAACATACAAACTAAAGGATATGGCTAACACATGGTATGTAACTATATTGCTAGGAAGGCCAGCAGGAGCAGCCCCACTGACATGAGACGAGTTCAGTAAGTTGTTTATGGATCATTTTCTTCCAGATAGCCTGAGGCAAAAATATGTTAGAGACTTTGGGAGATTGGTTCAGACTCCAGATATGGATGTGTCAACCTACAACACGAAGTTTTGTAATCTGGAAAAATATGCTCCTTACTTAGTGCCTACCCATGAAGTTCGAGTTCGGAGGTTTGTTGATGAGTTGGTTGGTCATTTATACACTGCAGTAGCCCCACCGATGAAGACTTTGTCCTACACTGATGTAGTCGATCTCGCTAGAAAGATTGAAAATAAGGGATGCGATGAGCGTGCAACTAGTGAATTACATAAGAAGGCCAAGACGAGGTCTTTCAATGGCGGTTTTAGTGAAAATCGCAGAGCAGGAAATCAGGGACAACAACAACAGGGTTCTCAGACAGGTACATACTTGTCTTCACAGACCACATTAAGACAGGGTACTAGGGGATCATCATCTGGACATCGTAATTCTGAGCAGATATATGCCACTAATTCAGTCTGCCAGACCTGTGGTAGATCACATTTGGGCCAATGTCGTGTTCTAACGGGAGAGTGCTTTCAGTGTGGTCAGTTGGGACATCACTTAAGGGATTGCCCTCAGTCTCCGAGAAATTTCAACCAGGTTTCTATTCAGTCAACTGTACCTACTCAGCTTACTCGTAATACTTCAGGTGCTACAGGTATAGGAAATAGAGGTCGAGGTGCTGGAGACCGTGCTACTGTGAATCAAAGACAAGGGAATGCTGGTAGAGGTCAGGCGAGGGTTTTCGCATTTACTAGACACGATGCTCATGCATCGAATGCTGTGGTTACAAGTATTCTTTCTGTCTGTTCATTTGATGCACTTGCGTTGATTGATCCGGGGTCTACTCACTCCTATATATCCTCATACTTTGTTTTGAGGTTTAGTAGACAACCTGCGCTATTGAATGACCCTTTTCTAGTTACTACTCCTGTTAGAGATTTTCTATTAGCTGAATACATATATCGTGCTTGTCAGATTCGGGTTGAGGGTAGAGATACTCTAGCCGACCTTATTGTACTTGATATGATTGACTTTGACATGCTGATGGGAATGGATTGTTATCTTCTTGTTATGCTATCGTCGATTGTCATGCAAAGATAGTTAAGTTTGAGATACCAAACAGACCTAGTTTTGTTCTAAAAGGGGTCAGATTCTAGAGACTTGCAAAGTTGTATCTTTTATGAAGGCTCAACGACTTCTGAAAAAAGGTTTCTTAGCTATTGTAAATGACAGAAGAAAGGAAATAATTTGTATAAAAAAATGTACCAGTAGTGAGAGAATTTTCTGATGTATTTCCTGAGGATTTACCAGGATTGCCTCTAGTACGAGAAATAGACTTTGGTATTGATTTTCCACCTAACACACAACCCATATCGATACCCCCATATCAGATGGAACCAACAGAGTTGAGGGAGCTAAAGCAACAGTTACATGATTTGTTAGATAAGGGTTTTATTAAACCTAGTGTATCACCATGGGGTGCACCATTATTGTTCGTAAAGAAGAAAGTCGTATCTCTAAGAATGTGCATTGACTACAAGCAGTTGAACAAAATAACAATTCGCAATAAATATCCCTTGCCTCGTATAGATGACATGTTTGATCAGTTACATGGAGCTGTGCACTTTTCAAAGATTGACCTTCGATCTGGTTATCATCAGCTTAGAAACAAAGATAAAGATATTTCTAAGACTGCTTTCAGGACTCGGTATGGGCATTATGAGTTTTCGGTGATGCCTTTCGGACTGACTAACGCTCCAGCTGCATTCATGGATTTAATGAATATGGTGTTCAAACCGTTTATGGATAGATTTGTAATAGTATTTATTATGATATCCTGCTATATATTCTCATAGCCAAGGAGAACACGAGAATCATCTGAGGACTGTGTTGCAGACATTGCGAGAACATCGGCTTTATGCTAAGTTCTCAAAGTGTGAATTTTGGTTGGACTTAGTATCATTTCTGGGGCATGTTGTATCCAAAGATGGAATTATGGTGGATCCTAAGAAGACCGAAGTTGTGCAGAAATGGCCAAGACCTCTCCTACAGAGATTCGCAACTTTTTAGGTTTAACAGGCTATTACAGGCGTTTTGTGCAGGATATTTCCAGAATAGCAGCGCCACTGACTAAGCTAACACAGAAAAATGCAAAGTTTCAGTGGACGGAGGAATGTGAGCAGAGCTTTCAGAAACATAAAACATGTTTGACAACTGCACCAATATTAGCCTTACCATCAGGTTCTGGAGTATTTACAGTATTCTGTGACGCCTCGAGGGTAGGATTAGGATGTGTTCTCATGCAAAATGGTCGCGTTATAACTTACGCTTCGAGACAATTGAGAAAGCACGAGCAAAACTATCCTACACATGATTTGGAGATGGCTGCAATGGTATTTGCTTTAAAAATTTGGAGGCATTACCTATATGGCGAAACTTGTGAGATTTATACTGACCATAAAAGTCTGAAGTATATCTTTCAGCGAAGAGATCTAAATCTTCGGCAGTGTCGATGGATGGAACTACTCAAAAACTATGACTGTTCTATTTTGTATCATCCTGGAAAAGCCAATGTGGTGGCTGGTGCATTGAGTAGAAAATCTATGTGGAGTTTGGCACATATAGCTCCTACAAAGAGACTTTTGACCAAGGATGTTCAGATACTAGAAGATACATATATCAGATTTAGTGTCGTAAATTCAGAGGCATTGTTGGCTTGTGCTCAGGCTAAGTCTTAATTAGTTGAGTGAATTAAGGTCACCCAATATGAGGATGAGCGATTATGCAAATACAGAGATGAGGCCTTAGCTGGTAAAAGCAAGGCTATGATTGTTGAAAGTGATGGTGTTCTTCGAATGGGTGACAAGCTATGTGTAGCAAACGTAGATGGGTTGAGACAGTCTATTCTTGAAGAAGCTGACAACTCTAGATACACTATACATCCTGGATCCACAAAAATATATCATGACCTAAAGCAATTTTATTGGTAGGAAAGTATGAAGAAAGATGTTGCTAACTTTGTTTCTAGCTATTTGACTTTCCAGTAGGTCAAGGCTGAGCATCGGCGACCTGCAGGTCTACTTCAACAATTTGAGATTCCAGTGTGAAAATGGGAAAGAATTACCATGAATTTTGTGACTGGCCTACCCCGTACTCTTAGAGGTTATGATTCTGTGTGGGTAATTATAGATCGACTGACAAAATCAGCACACTTTATGCTAGTGAAGACTACATATGATGGAGTGAGGTATGCACAGATATTTATGAACGAAATTGTCCGACTTCACGGAGTTCCAATATCCATCATCTCTGATAGAAGATCACAATTTACTTCACACTTTTGGAAATCGTTTCAAGAAGTATTGGGTACACGAGTAGATCTTAGTACTGCATTTCATACATAGACAGATGGGCACCGTACGAAGCATTGTATGGTAGAAGATATCGTTCTCCTATAAGATGGTTTGAAGCTGGAGAGACTAACTTATTGGGATCAGACTTAGTACAAGAAGCTATTGACAATGTCCAGTTGATCAGACAGAGATTACTCACAACTCAAAGTAGACTAAAGTCTTTTGCAGATAAGGGAAGAAGAGAGTTAATGTTCACAATTGGGGACAAATTATTCTTACGAGTCTCCCCTATGAAAGGTGTGATGCGGTTTGGGAAAAGAGACAAGTTAAGCCCCATGTTCATTGGACTGTATGAGATACTAGACAGAGTGGGAGCTGTGGCTTATCGTTTGGTACTTCCTCTTGAGTTGTCTTTTATTCATCCAGTGTTTTATGTCTCAATACTAAGAAAATATATATCAGACTCATCTCAGGTACTTGAAGCACCGACTATACCGTTCGATGAGAAGTTGTCTTACGAGGAGGAGCCGATGGCTATTGTTGTTAGACAAATAAGAAAACTACGGTCAAAAGAAATTGTGTTCGTGAAAGTCTTATGGAGAAATCATACTGTTGAAGAAGCTACATGGGAAATAGAAGATGCTATGCGAGTTAAGTATCCTCATTTATTTCAGTCTACAGGTATGCACCTAAGGTAAATTCGGGGACCGAATTTTATAAGGTGGGGAGCATGTAATACTCCTCATTAGATAAAGGGTAATTAAGTAATTTACCCAAAATAACTAATAAACAAAAAAAATACAATATAAGATGAAATAGGGGCAAATCCCTACACTAACAGAAACAAAAGAATAAGGGGCAAGCAACTTTACTCGGCAGAAGCAAAACGGACAGAGGCGATCAAACGCAACCACAAAGTGGGTTTACTCTGTTCTAGCAAGGGGATTTACAGAGAAGGGGAACAAGCTAGGTAATTGAATTTTAAAATTTTTTCATGGTAATCTGATTCCTTTACTTAATATTTAGCACACTATTAGCTATTACTTCGTTAACTAAGGGAAGAAATAACAAAATTCAAGTTACTTTTAATCTAGTACAAATAATGGAATTTTATATACATGATTCTTATAGGGCTGAGTAGATATAATTTTGGAATTTAGATTAAGAATTTGAAAGATAAAGTTAAGAAAATTGGGAGAAATTCATGAGACTTTTCTGTTAATTAACTGGGTATAACATATGAATAAGTTATATTTAATAGATTTTGAAGTATTCTAAACTACTAGTAGCGTGAGTAAGTATAAATTGACGAATTAAGAGTCAAACATGAACCTAGGGGTTGGGTATTCTAAATTAGCTATGAATTAGCTAAAACAAAAAAAATTAACACGAGATCGATATTGATGTGATTATAGATTGATTGAAAAAAATCGTACAGATCGTTCGAGGTGACGAGTTTGGTATTCCGCACGAAGTACTGTGAGTAGTAAGTTACCGCAATTTGTGTTTTCATAACTTGCACGATTTGCACATGATTTTAATATGAATATGTTACCGATTATTTTGAGTTGCATGTGGGACATGTCTTTTACTCGATATGATACCAAAATAGTTATTTGAGATGCTTACCGTTGTTATAAATATTTCCGTTGTCACTAGATCTGTTTTACCATTACTTGAATTTACTGTTATCGAAATGAAATTATATGATTTGATAAGAGTTGACATGCCCTATATTGTTTTAAAGTATTTTCTACGAGTATATACGGATTACAGAGACACGTATAAACGGGAGTAGACATTGAAGGATCCCGTAGCTAACGGCGGGTTCGTTAGACCTGGTGCACCTTGTAATTACAGATTACCGTTATAACTCTCGCTAGTGAAAAGGTAGAACTAACATACCGTTACTGATTTTCCTCGAGTAGGGACTGCCGTTATATTTGACTTCTTGCGAAGAAGTCCACAATTATACCGATTACATGACCCGTTCATTGAAACCTCCCAAGTGTGAATATTGATATTATACAATGGTTACCGAGCTTATTACTTAATTTATACTTGTATTATACTACAAGAAAAACATAATGAGACTGAAAATTATTTATTGTTTCTGAAAGGGCATTCTTATGATATTTTCTGTTTAATATACTAGCATGTTTTTGACTTGTCCCCAATAAAAATGGTTAAGTGTTATTACTCACTGAGTTAGCGACTCATTTCTCGCTAATTTTTTTTTTTTTACAGAGACAACAGTTGACGCGGGCGAGGATTTCGTTAATTAGAGCGCACAAGTTGATAGTTCTTGGTGAGACTCGCACTTGTTCGCGTTGGCGAAAATTTTATTTATTGTTATGGTCTTTTATTTGAACTCTTAGAGTCGCTCCATAGTCATTCTTTTTAGAGTCTTGAGTTTTCTTTTGTTATTATAGACTTATATTGAGTATCGCTAATTCTTAACAAAGTTGGAGATAAAGTAGTATTTCTAGTTGTTAGTGGGTGGACTATTAGTGGTAGATATTTATTTTAGTTAATTGATAAAGTCATTATCGTTTGAATTGATATTAGGATGTTTGGTTGTTGATTTGAGACAGGAAAATTTTTGGGATACTCCAAAAACAGAGGAAACTCTGCCTGATTTTCTGTAAAATATCGATGAGGCTTACTTGGAGTCACTTGCTCCTAGGTGTCGGTCATGATCCTAAATTGGATCGTGATATTAATCTTGAGATTAGTTATCCTTTTCCCTCGTACCACACAAGCATTTATCTGTTGCTTTTATTCATGGCCTCCATAGGAAAAGAAAAAGACCGTTAATAGATGTTTACCACTTACTTTCTCACAGTTTTCTAATTTTATTTAATGAAACTGAATCGCGGGAGAAAAAACTTAACTAAATCAAACAAATTTTGATATGTTTATTGATAAGGTTATTTAAAGATAAAGAATGTAGTATAGGAACCGAACTGAATTGACTCAAAATCGATCGAACCATCCAAATATGCCTCCTATTATCAGTTTTTATGACCAGTGAATGCTTATTATTGAAGGTAATGATGCACACATAACTTGTAAATTCTCGATCTGACTCTGTTTCGAGTTAGGCATTTACATTAAAGTTGAACTCTTTCATACGATGCAGTGGTTGAATTAACTTTACTTCAACATAAAATATTTACTGATTAAAACAGTGTCCATTCCATTTAGAATCCCCTTTTCCTGACAAAAGAGTAGTTAATATGGAGTACCAGAATTTATTCCAAAACACACAAGAAAACACATATAGATCAATGCTATATATATCATCGTTTTAGAAGTTCACTAAAATACACAATCAAAGTCACCATTTAGTGTTGTTTCACTTTTAGCCTGCACCAGAAACTATTTATATTCGGTTGTTTAATATTTATATATAACATACAAAATGTATATATACAAAAAAATATATTTTCGACTATTATTTTGAGAGGCTATATAATGTCATTTTACCTACCACTTAGTCCAACATTTGCATTTAGTTTTAGTATTCTTACATTGTATAGCCGCATGTCCCCCAAAAATAGCCGAAAGGTAT